CTGGGCTCAAACGTTCACTCAAGTCCAAGGCAAACCCAAACCCTTCAGCCAGGAAGTTTTCAGCTACCAAAAATAATCACCAGGCCCTGGCTAATATTTGTGGGGATCGTGTGTTCTTGGGAATTTCCTCTTCCCTGCGTGGAGATAAGTGATAAACGCAATGAAGGCAGGGGCCGCTCTGATGCCCTGCGACGTGTCGGAGGAGAGACACAGCAACACTTCCTTTTTGGTAGCTTTTTCCTAAGCCCTGACTTCTGCATTCACTGTCTGGCTTTCAGGCTCAATCCCACTTCTCTATTACGCTGCTGAAACCCAGTGAAGTCAGCAGAAAAGCCGAGGAAGTTTCCTGGGTAGGACTTTGAAGCCAGGGTATCAGATCCACGAATGGGGAGGCAGATTGCTACTCCATGCCGCCTTAGCTTTGTTACACATGCACCGAGCTCGGGTCAGCTGCATATTATTTGTCTGAATCATTTCTGTAGAGCACCATTAGTGTAACATCCTGCCCATTCTTCTGGTCTTCTCCACGGAGACCTCCTCTGGAGCTAGTCCCATGCAGTGGGATCAGAACTGGCCCTTTGAGTGCGTTTTCCAGAACACCAAGTACTGCAGAAGGATTTCATGGAAATAAACAGTCAGTGAAGGTTTTCCAAACCCCTTGCAGGGGAGGGCAGAGAACAAAGAGAGGAGCTGAACTCTCAGATAGTGATAAATCATCCCGGAGAAATCCAGCTCATCCATTTCAAACACTCACGTATGCCAGGGATATTAAAGTATGTGGCTTGTTGCAGTAGGAGACGGTTCTCACCGACTAAAACAAACGTTAGCCTTGATTAGCTCTCAAGATGCTCCTGTAGCACCAAAGCAGCACCCATTAAGCTTTGAAGCAGGGAGAAGCTGTTTTCGCATCCTCAGCATGAAGGCAGGTCTGTGGTGGTCCATACTCAATCATTCAGTGCTACTTTGCGGGGAGGACTCAAAATGCCTACCTTGGATCTTTGCTGGAAGGAAAGTTCTGCATTTAGGGTTTGACCTCTGCTTGAAGGATAGTAAACAGAGCAGAATGATTGTAAATGTGTCCATCTGTATTGATGCTCCCAGTGCAGGAGAGAGGCAGCTGGATTGACTGGGTGACATTTTGGCAGTGGAAGATGTTTTCCCATCTCTCTGTGCTGGAAGGGAGGAACCAGGGATGTGCTGGGACCCCATCTCCTCACACCTTGCAATGGGGGGACCATAAGGAGCCCAGGCACTCAGGTCCCTGTTCAGCCTGTGATAATGCATTGCAATGAGAGAGGCCCTCACAGCTCAGTCCTGCAAGCAGAGGAGATGTGCTTTGTCCTTGCATGGCCAAGGAGGCCCCGAGCCCCCCGCAGTGTGGCTCTGGCCCTCTCTGTGTCTCTTTCCATTGCACACAGCTTTCAGAAAGATATGGTCTTGCTCAAATATTTTCTGAGTGCCTGATACCTTTCTGCAGCAGGAGGTATCTGTGAGGGAAACAAAGCTGCTCCGACAGGACAACACTGGAGCCTTATCTCACCGCACAGGGGAGATAAAGCAGCCCTTTACCAAGCTGGCTTAGCAGAAGAGAGGCTCTGGGCTTTCTCCCATCCCTGTCCCCGATGCTATCACATCAGCCTTGGCTGCACAGGGTCCCAGTGGTACCCCAGGCTGCAGAGCAGGGCAGCTCGTCCGCCAGCCCAGGTTTGCTGCCTGTGTGCAAGGCTCCAGCCTGCACAATGGTTAGTGCCTGCTCCCTGTCTCCCTCACGTTCTCCCCCTTTCTTATCAGCTTTGCTTGAACCCTTGGTCAAGAGCAAGAGTGAGAGGTTCCCTGCACCACGGCCACAGCACAGGAGCACGCGCCGGGCTTCGAGCACGCACTCAGGCATTGCCCACAATAGAAGCACTTCCCCGGTTGGGCTGTGTCCCGCACGTAGCCTTTGCTTTGGCCTATTTCCATGTTAAAGACGGCCTGGAAGAACCTGCCAACCTTCTGTAGGAAGCACTACTCAAAGTCAGCACTATAGAGGTCAGCCTCCAGCCGTCGGTCATCACAACCCCAGCTCCTTGTGCAACAGGATGATGAGCATCTCATTAACTGGTAGCAACCAGCCTTTGGTGCTAATGAGCAGCTTCTTGTACCAATGGGAGGGAGGAGAGGCCCTGTGGGGTCAGGACACCCTGAAAGGAGGGTTTATTGCAAAAGTGGAGACACCTGAGAAACAAGAGACCTGAGCAAAGAGGAGGTCTTTGCCCAAAGTGGGCCCAAGCTGACTTCTCTCCAGTGGTGTTGGCAGCCTCCACTCCTGGCAGTGTCAATGGCACATCCAGCCATCCCTGGATGCCGTTCATGGTGCCTCCCAAGTGTTGAAAGTCAGGAGTCTCTCTGACTCTTACTGTCAGAGATAAAACAAGCACTTAACCATGAGATAAATCTGGAGACACAAAACTCCTTGGGCAAGCTGAAACACAGGGAAAGACCTTGGAAGAGGCAGCTATCCCAAAGCCCCTTCCCAAACTAGCCATCGTGTGCCACAGGTACTTCAGTGGTGAGGGTTTGTTTTAACAATAATGCTTTTTTGAATCCTCATGGAAATCAGGGGGAAAAAGGATCATAAAATAGACCTGGCCTCAAAGGGACCCGTGTGGGCAGGGGGGATACAGCAGCAGCCACATCAGCTGACAGGAGGGCAGGATGCCACACTAATTGGCTGGTGCTAATGAGGTGCTAAAGCCCCCTGGCTGCCATCCCCCTCCTCAATTCACGCCTGACCGGCCTGGAATGCTGCAGTGATGGAGCAGGGGGTTGGGGACCACAGGGAGGTGCAGGCAGAGGCAGGGCTGTGTGGCCTGCATGGCGAGGTGTGTGGCACCAAGCCTGGGGTCCCTCCCTCGCACACACCATAACTGAGCCTTGGCTGGTACCCAAGTGCTCCCAACACCGAGGATCATGCAGCGGCTCTGCAGGATGAAGTGTCATGATTTCAGATGTAAAACTATCCATTCATCCAGACCGCTTCCCGCTCGGCAGCCACTGCTGAAGGTACTAAACACTGGGTAAACAGGAAGCATTGTCCACACATCCCATTTCACTCCTGCGGCTCCGCTGCTGAGGCCACAGCAGTCCTGCTCTGTGCTCAGCATCACGTTGCTGGTGGCCGATGTCCCAGTCATTCACCATGACCTGTGCTCATCCTGGGCAGAGGACGTGGGAGAGATAGCAAAAGGGCCAAGTGGTGGTTGCTGCAACTGATAAACTGGGTCTGGAGTCTTCCTCAAAGTCCCCAGGCTCCAGGCTTGGGGGTGGATGTTAGGAGCCTTCGTGCAGGCTCTGTGCATTGCAGGACTGAGCCTGTGTGTCTGCTGATGATGGTGCAAGCTCCCAGCTCTGCACCTCAGTTTCCAGTGTCCAGCACCTCTGATCTGAAAGGAGCACCCATTGCTGCCTCTTCGCCGCGTGCAAGCCCTGTAACTTTCCATAGGGAGCTGCTGCTTCCAACAAGCTGAAAACCAGATAGAGATGGATAGGCTCTCCCTAGAGGTTAACGTAGCCTGTGCCCACAGACACCCAGTGTTTCACGCACAGCGGAGCACAAACACACCCTTGCCTGGAAGAGCCTCCCCTGGACAGTCCCACTCCCAGGGAGCCCATCCGCCAGCAGCGCTCACAGTACACGGTCACCTATTGCTGGGAAGAGCCATGGGCAGCAGAAAGCAGCCGTTAAACCCCGTCTGCCAAGGAAAACACGGGGGGGCTTGCTTTAGCCATGCATTTATATAAATAAACACAGGAATATTCTGCAGCTCCCAGGGGATGGCCCCGTGTGATATTTTGCTGAATAAGGGTGGGAGTAATCCTCTGCTCACCGTAAGCCTGCGCACAACCGCCCGGGAGCGCGTGCTATGGGGTGGGGATGCAGCTGTGCTGCAGGGGAGCCCTGCATGACGTGTCCCAGCCCCACACCATGCACACTGCCTGGGCAGGGATGCTGTGGGGTCTCAATGCCCGCAGCAGCAGGCGGTGACAGCCTGGCAGCCATAGGGCTGCTTGTTTGTCAGCCTGAGGACATGGGTTAGTGCTGGTCTTGGCAGTGCTGGGAAATGGCTGCACTTGATCCTAAAGGTCTTTTCCAACTTAGATGATTCCATGATTCTGTGATTGCATCCTCTGAGAGAACAGAGAATTAATTGTGGGCGCCGCAGCCCTCCTGTTCCAAAATGTCCCCTTTCCTAGCATGGTTGGATCAAAGTTTCACGTTCCCATTCAGAAGTGTACCATTCCCCCTCTGGCCAACCAGAACCAAGGGCACACATGCACATGTATTAACTCTGGAATCACCACCAGCTTTGCAGCAGAACAGCCTTCAAAATCAGGGCACTGGGGCAGTTGTCTCCCCATCTCCCTGCTGCCCAGTGCTGGGTGATGTCCTGCCACCTCTGCTCGGTGATGTTCTGCAGGTTTAGTGGCCCAAACTTCATGTTCCTTGTTCTTTCCCAATGCAGGGACAGAGATGGGGGTGAGAAGCCACCCAGCAAGCTGTGGGTGTGACCCAAACTTCAGGGGGTCACAAATACCCCAGATCTGGTGCCTAACATCAACACGGCCCCTCTTGAGAAGATACCTGCAGCCCTACCATGCTTGGCCCTGGCACACTGGGGGTCCCCAATGGCCCCCATCCACCCCTTGATATGGAAGGAGAAGCCCCTGGGGTGGGGCTGTGGAATGTGCCCCATGGCAGTGGGGCAGGCGGGCAGGGGGCCTGCAGGGAGATGTCCCCATGTCCCAGGGCCACGCGGCTGCCTCCTCTCCATGCCGTGGCCGTCCCCATGGGCACGGTGCGGGGGAGCCGCCCCGCGGCCCCTCTCCCCCTCCGGCCGTGTTTGTTCTCCTCGCGGCGCCCGTTATCAGAGCACAACACACACAGGAAGTCCTGTCTGGGATTGTCCATCCCCGGCCTGATTTATACAGGAAGAAAAGCATAAAAAGCCGCCCTTTCCCACCTCGGCAGCCACCTCCTGCCTGTGCGGGGCCATGGCACGAAGCGGCTGCTCAGGCCCGCCGGACCGGGGGCAGCCGGGCAGGGATAGGCGCCGGGAGGCACCGGGAAGCGCAGCGCTGGCAGCGGGGCTCATCCCGGCACCGCGGGCGATGGCGGCGCCCCGCAGGTACCCAGCGAGCTGCGGCCATCACCGCAGCGGGGACGGGGTGGATGGGATGGGATGGGGTGGGATGGGAAGGGATGGGGGCAGTGGGAGGGTGTCCTCTAGGGCTCTGGGTGGGATTTTGCCCCTGCTCAGGCAGATACAACTTTAGGAGCACACAGCACTGGCAAAGGGCTGCTGAAGCAAAAGGGGTTTTCAAGCATCCTTCAGCTGAGGCTGTGTGAGCCGCGCACGTGCTGAGCCGAGGAGCGTCTCCAGGGGTGGTTTGCTCACAGCAGAGCCCAACCTGCGGCACTGTTGGGTCTAATTCAGGCCCCTGGCACTCAGGCTGCTTTCCAGGGGTGGACAACCTGGAGGGTCGATTTCACCTCTGTGCATGTAGAGGAAAGCAGCAAACACTTGCAGAATACCTGTGAGATAGCTGGAAATCCTGAGCAAATCCCTTTTCTTTCCATAACTCATTCTCTTTTTCCATCTGTCTGCTCTCTGAACATCTCTGGTGCAACACCACGTTCTTCATCCTCCTGCCTGCACTCCCCTGCCTGTGCTCTCCCCTCCGCACAGCAGGACCCCAAGCCGCGATGCTGCTGATTTCAGGTTGCTCTGCAACAGAGCTCAGCTCCTGGATGCGGGCAGGATGCGGGCAGGATGCGGTGCTGCGGGCAGGGACCATCCCTGCCGTCACATAGACCTGTGCTCACCCTGGCTAACGGCCAAGCTCAGAGCGTGCAGGTGCGTGCCAGGAGTTGGGCAAAGCCTCTCAGGTTTACAGCCATGGCGCTGGGTGTTTGCCTGCTCTCTGCTTTCAGCTGCCTGTGGGTCCTGCCCTCCTGGTCTGTGTCACTGCACAGTGCAGGCAGGAGGATTTCAGTCCAGGATCTGGGGTTTTGAGGGATAAAAGGCTGGCCATGGGTAGCAGCAGCTGGGATGCCCAGGCACTGTCAGGCTGCACAGAGTAGGACACAGCGGTGTATGGCTCTCGGTAGAAATAACCCAGCCTAATTCCCAGGGTCTAACATCCACCGAATCAATTCCCTGGGCAGAGAATCAAACATAAGAAATAACACGGCTTTGTCAGTGGTAAAAGTGATTTATGAACAGATTGGGAAGCTCTGACACCGCCTGGGAAGCTGGGAGAGACAGATGCCCCCATGCAGTGGCTGGACCCTGCTCTGGGTAACAGCAGCAATCACAGAGCCTGCCCTGGCACGTTCTGAGTGCTGTTCCCTGTGACCCAGCATCCATTCTGCCCATGGAGTCAGTCCCCTCCGTGCTGTGAGGCCACCAGCTCAGCACAGGCTTCCCGAGAGGTAAGGAAGAGAAATGGAATCCGGGCCGCAGGCTCGCCTGAGCCCTTTCCCAGGCTCTGCTGCTGCAGATGGGGCTGCTCAGGGGAGACAGATTTACAGACTGCAGCAAATGGGAGCACACGACCCCGACTCGGGCCCAGCGGCAGCAGAAGGGAGGAACGCAGGGGGAGGTTGAGCTTTTAACTAAGGAAAGGGTCTCTGCAGCAGGAGAGGGAGTCACAAGTGTTGTTTCACTCTGTCCTCGCTTGGGTTCCTCTCCTGGCCATAGCCAGGGAGGTGGCTGCAGAGCAGCTCCAGTTAGTGCAGGTTCCAGGAGCTTTCTCCTGATAGAGAAGGAAAATCAGAGCAAAACCCAGCCCTGTGTGGAACGCTCTCCTGAGCTGCTCGCTGCGATGGCTGCGCTGAAGGGATGGAGCCGTGCATGCAGCCCACTGCAATCCCCACCACGCTCCTCAGGGAGGGACACAGGGAGCAGCAGTGGGGACCGTTCCCTGGGACTAACACCACTTTTGCCAGGGAGATTTCACAGAAAGCACCAAAATTCAGTTTATTCCTGGGTGGGATGAATCATTTCCCAGCTTTCACTCCCAGCCATCGCTGCCTCCTCTACATGCAGATAAGAACTCATCTGTGTGCACAGGAGGGAGAATAAACGTGGCTACAGGACATTGCCCTGTTCACACATTCCGTGTTGCACAGCTGCAGCTCTGTGTCTCCGTGTCTCTAAGTCATGATGTCCCCAAGACACTTAATGCTTGCAAAGTTCTTACTCAGGCAAAAAGAGTCCCTTTGTGGGAATCGAATCTCGGTCACAATATGCATATCTCTGGGCAAGTGGTGACGACAGAGCGAGCCCTATGGGCCAAGTACTCCTCTTGGTTTGACCTGCTTTGATCCCACTGCATCAATGGGCTCCTCTAGATTTCCACTGAGATGACTGGTCTGCAGCTGACGCAACCCAGAACAATATGGGGCATAATGGAGTAGTGGGAGGTCATTTTCCTCATGGAGCTCTGCAGAGCGGGCTGCTCCAAAGCCTACGCTTAAGCATCAAGTTTACAAAGAGCCTTATGAAGAGCAGGAGTTTGTCCTAGCCCAGGAAAAGCCGTTCCCCCTCTCTTCAGAAGCACCACAGATTCCTATTGCTTTAGCAAGTGCTTCCAGCTCTGTGCAAGCCTCCTGCGGAGGCCAGCGAGAGCCCATTGTACACAGCAGGGATGGGGGCAGCCGTGGCTGGGAGCAGCGGCACAGCTTTGCATCTGTATGTGTGTCACTCTTCTGTCTGTCCCCATCCGTCTGTCTCCATGTGCCACCGCTGCAGACACGGCCCCAGCTTGGGGAAGCGCTCGTGTGCTCGGGCACGTCCCGTTTGCTGCCATGGGCTGTGAGCTCTCCTCCCTGAAGAGAGGGCTCCTGAGGCGGGACCTGAGCGCTCATCTCCCATTAATTCTCCTCTGTTAATCATTCCTTTCTCATGCCTACAGAACCAGAGCAAAGTTGAGTTCCAGCCCCCCATGGGCTCTAGGGAATGGGGAGGTGGGTGAAACCCTCACCCAGAGCCAGCCCCGTGCTTTGGCCAGCTCACACTGGTGGCAAAAGCAGTGGGACACAAGGAGCTTTTGAGCTTGCTAAATCAAAGAGGGAGGATGGGCAGAAATATTTCCCTCTTGGCTTGGAGACAAGCATTAATATGAGATACCGTGGGAGCACGCTGCTGGTGTGCAAGGGGGAGCGCTGCAGGAAGCAGGGGAAGGCTCCAGCCCAGCCAGGACTTCGCATTCAGACACTGGCTGGCAGGAGCCAAAGCCTGTGACTGACAGCGCTGTCAGACACTCATCACACCGGTACTGACAGAGCCAACAGGCCTGAGCCTGCCCCCTGCACTGCTGCAACCCCTCTGCTTCCAGGGGAGCTGTGTCCTGTGGGACCTCCTCCCACCACCATGAATATTAGCATATAGGACACTGAACCCTCCTTAAGAGAGGAGGAGTAAATGCTCTTTTAACAGGCTATATGCCGTCCTTAAGCAGCTGGCACGGGCACTTGCTTGAGCAAAGGCTTCACCCAGTAAATGGAACTGAAAAGCAAACATTTAGTGATTAAAGTACTTGCAGAATGTGCAGATGCTGCAGGGCACTTGGGAACGATTGCCTGATGGCTGAGGAGGCTCTCATGGGGACCTCAAAGGCGATGTGCTTAGGCCTGTGATGGGTGTCAGTGTCCTGCAAGGAGCTGAAAGATGAGCGCATGAGGGTGCTGGGTGTCAGTGAATCCATCCCCTTCTCACCATTGAACTGACACTCGTGCAAGGGAACTTGTATACACCCAGGACAGTGCCAGCAGGAATGGGGCATCCTGTTTCCTTGGGCTCCTGGAAAATCCCAGCCTTGGTGTAACCTCCATTGCAAGCTCGTGCGAGCGAGGGGAGGATGCTCCTATACACCCGCTGTGCATCCTGCCCTGTGCAGCAGGGAAGGGACGGGCATCCCCGGGCCCTACCACCAGCACCACGGTGCCTCTGCATGCACCAGTGAGCGTTCGTGGAGTGGGCTCAGTGCCAAACACAAGTACCCTGTGGCCATGATCCTGCTTTCGTCCTCCACCCCACCCCACAAGGACATTGGGGAGCATCCAGGGAACCCCTCATTGTGGGCAGGGGTTGGTCACTGATCTCTGCCTGCATGAGCAGGGGAGTGTAACAGCATTTTCTGTTCTCACAGCAAGAAACCAAGATGTTCCGTAAGGAAAGGACCCGTGCCCAGGACAAATGATGGAGCACGGCGGATAAGGTGAGTGCCTTGGCTGTGAGATCTAATCCTGTGCTTTCAGTGGGTCAAAGCTTTCCATTGGTTTCCAAGTGCACTTTGCAGTTATTAGGCGAGTTGAGCATCATCCCCCCGTACAGCACAGAACACAATCACACTCTGTGCAATGAGGTAATTACCAACCTCTCAAGGCTCTCGGGAAAAGGTGCCTGGGCTTTGTGCTCGTGAGATTGAGCTGAAAACACTCCCCAGAGGTGGGCTGGATCCAGAGAGGGAGCAATCCCGCTTGTGCCCTCTGAGATGCTGTGGGACGTGGAGCTGCACTTCCACCCGCACCAGAAGCCTTTCCTGTGCTGCTGGGGATCCCATCTCCATGTGCTGCTGGAGCTCCACCTTCCCCAGCACACCCCAGAGCTGATCCCGCTCCCTTCCCCAGGGAAGCAGTTTATGCTCTGTGTACACGGGTCCATCCAGGACCCCACAGCACATCGAGCACCCATCAGCTTCCCTGGAGGGTGCAGCTCCAGCTCAATCAACAGCCTCATCGTATCCATGAGGAAATAGGAGGGACGGGCCACATCTCAGTTGCTCTTTTGGAGCCATTATTGTGTAACCGGTAAATATTTCCTTTACGTGCCTACATGCTTTCAAAATGTAATTGCAAAGCTTAATGGGAACAAATATTCCCCTGGGCTGTATCTTGCCATTCATCTGCTCAGCAGCCCCCTGCCATCCCCGAGGCTGGGTCTGTGCATGGGCAGGCGCCTGAGCCACTTGCAGAAACAATAACCCTCGGGCTCCCATTTCCCAGCGCAAACTGCAGACAAAACAAGTGGCAGCTTGGCACAGCCCGAGCTGCACAGTTTGCTTTGATAAATAACGCCCAAGGAATCCTTTCAGCATCCTTGGGGGCTTGCTGGGAACCAGCCTCCCCGTCCTGGTGCTTCATCGCCTGCTCCCGGAGGACTTTGCTGGTGTAATGAGCTCAGGGGGATTAACGGGGCACAGGGGGCTGTGTGTGGACCAGGGCGGTGTTAGGTCTCTAACCTAGGGAAGGGTGATGCCTCCTCTTGGAATTATCTGTCCCCCTTGGGGTGCAGAAGCAGCTATAGGGGTTTTTAGCAAAGAGAAATGAATTCACTCTGGCCACTGGTGAGGGACCACTTCCCCCTGGGCCAGGGGCTGTGCTGGCATCTCCCTCTCTTGCCATTAATCCCCAGCCCACCCAAGCGAGCTGCTCTGGGGGGGAGGAACCTCGGTGTCCCCACAGTGTGGGGCAGGCAGAGGCTGTGGGGCTCAGCCTGCTCTAAGGACACCGCAGGTGAGGCTCCGGATCAGTGCAGGGACCGGGATCGCCCATAAACCCCGTTTCCACCGGGCTCCGCTCCGCAGCGGCAGCACACGGGGCACAGCACCAGGATGTCCCCACCAGTGCCAGGCTCCCCCGGGGGATCCCGCTTTGTCCCTGCATGTTCCCCCCCTCCCCAAGGACCAAGCTTCCCGGGGGTCCCCGGGGCCGGGTCCCCCGCCGGGGGCAGGTGGCGGCTGTCGGGGCCGGCGGGGCGGGGGCAGGCGGAGGCTCCCCGGGCCCCGGCGCTTCCCCCCGGCTGGAGGCTCCGTTTTCCTCCCGCCTGAGCTCATTGGGCCGGGGCGGAGGGACCGGCTCGGGCCGGGGGAGGAAACGCGCGGGGGCCGCGGCGCGGCGGCGACTCCGGCTCTGGTACCGGTACCGGTGAGTCCCGGCGGCCGCATCCTCGGCGGGGAGGGACGGGACGGGACTGGCGCGGGGCGGCGTTTGGCGGAGCGGGACCGGGACCGGGACTCGCTGCGGCAGCGCGGGAGGGGAGGGGTGGCTGCGGCGGGGCTGCGGGAAGAGCCCGGCGGGGGGGGGGGTGGTGGCAGCGCCCGGAGACCGAGCTCGGGCCGGGGGGAGCAGCCCCGAGACGGGGCCGCGGTATCCGGGGTAACCCCATCCCTGCATCCACCCCCGGGCACCCGCGTCCTGCACTCTCCACCCCCCGGCGTACCCTGATCCCTGCAGCCCCCCCCGGGGTACCCTGATCCCTGCAGCCCCCCCCCGGGGTACCCTGATCCCTGCAGCCCCCCCAGGGTACCCGTGTCCTGCGCCCCGCTGCAGCGTCCCCGTCCTCGCTCCATCCTGCCCCCGCATCCCAGCCAGCACAGAGAGCTGCGGGAGGCGTGCAGCAGGGAAAATCCCTCTCCAGGAGGGTTTGGCTCCCAGGGCAGGTCCCCACGCAGTTGGTTTCACCTGCAGAACCAGGCTGGGAGGCTTGGAAAGGTGCAGCTGTGGCGTTCCCATAGGGATGATTCCATCCTCCTGAGGGACTGGGCTCTCTTGCTCCACTCTGCAGGCAGACCCTGACTCCTGCTGCTGCATCAGCTGGGGTTTAGCCTTGGTTTCATGGGCAGAGCTGGACAAACCCACTCTCTGGGCTGGATTTTCCCGTGCTTGCTGTGGCAAGAGCAGGCTTGGGAGAGTTATGGGAATGTTTCTGGCTGTGAGGGACTCCGGACTCACGGGGGGAGCGCCCCTGAAACAGCAGAAGCTCAGATGCACCCACACTGCTTCACTTGCACGGGGCTTCAGCTCTTCATTCGAGAGACTTAGAAAGGCAGTGACAAAACGACAAAACCCTCTCTTACTTTTATCCTTCTTGAGCATGAAAAGCTTTTCCTTTTGTGCTTTGAAAGAGGAGGATTAGAATAGGGGTGGCAAGAGGCTGGAGCCTCCCCAGCCGCTTTAAAGAGGCTGATTTTCATCAGCTCGTTACAAATCAAGTGGAGAGGATCAGACTTTCCGCTTTTGGAACAAGTTCTGCTATGAGGCAGCCCTCGCCGTGGGACCTGGAGGGATGCTCTGACCGCTTCAGGGAAACAACAAACTCTGTTTTAGGCTGGGGATGTGGGGCTGTGAGGGACAGCCCTGGGAGCAGAGGCTGAGCGAGCGGTGAGGAGCACACCGGTGCCCTGGGGTCTCTTGGGGAAGACTGGGGAGAAAGGAGCTTTCTCCACCGTGTTCCCTGCAGGTCAGCCAAGGTTTGATCTCCCGATGGAGGGGGTACCATAGATCAGCCACTACAGACTGAATTTATTGCTGTGTTTGGAGGGGAATGGAGGCTTTGGATCACCAAAATCCTGCTCACAGCCTCAGAGCTGGGCTTGAGGTTAAGATGGTTACTGTGGGTCTGGGCATCAGCAGTTCCCTGCTGGGCTGTGCTCCATGGGAATAGCTCACAGGGCTGTAGGATGGGGTGGGGATGTGGTTGAGCCTCCTGTCCTGGAGCCAGAGCCTCGGCTTCTGCAGTGCTGCTGAATTCAGGGTGTGGATAAGGGGGCCCAATGGTGTTTTCCAGCAAACCAGTGGAGCTGCTGTGACACGAAGCCTGTTGCTCAGGCAGGCAGAGCCGTGTGCTCCCCTCAGGGATGGAGCAGGGAGAGGAGGGGCAGCTCAGGCAGTGTCCCCCTTGCTCAGCACCATCATCATGGACACGTGCTCAAAGCATGTGGTGTTAGGGGGCAGGCAGGCTGCTTTCTCTCCATGCCTCAGTTTCTCCACCTGCATGAAGGAAAAGGTGATTCTGAGCACCCTGGAGAAGGGCTTTGGGAACTTCTGGGTCAGCGGGTTTGGGAAGGTTATCCCTAACAACATGCTTTGGAGATAGGAATTGTCCAGATGAGTTTGGGAATGAGCCTGCAGCTCTCCAGTCTAATCCCCCTCATATCATCGAGGGATTTCATACAGCTTATGTGCAGCTCTCTGCATTTCCAGTTGCAGAGGATGCGTCTTGTGTGGCCTCCCTGTAAAGCTGCTCCTTCCTCAAGGGTTAATCAGAAAGATTGATTCTGTCTTTAACTGGGGTATATTTAAGGTGGGTTCTTCCGTTCTTCCTCCTGTAGCTGCTGCCATCCGGAGGCCAAGTGGTTTGTTTAAGTTAGATACTGTTTAAATTGGGTATTGTTTAAACTGGGTACTGTTTAAATTGGATATTGTCTGGGACCTTCTTCAGCCTTGTTTCGTGTGTCCTCTGCTAGAGAATCAAAGCCTCTCTATGTGTGACTCCCTCAGTACTGGCTCTGCAGACAGCACATTCGCCCCTCACAGCACTTTTCTTTGGCCAGAGCTTGTATTTTAAAGAGAAGATCAGATTTCAGCGTTATGTGGTGGGAAAATGCAGCTCTACAATGCTCTATGGATTAAGAAATTAAGGGCCATTGTTTTGCCCTCACTGCCTGGAGTTGGCAGCGTGGTTTATGTGGCACAGGTCCCCTCCCTGCCACCCGACAAGCAGCAGTGTGGCCTCTGGTGCTGTGAGAGCATCCCCTGTGTGCTGAGCCTGGTGTGCCCAAGGGTGAAGCACCGCCATGGCTTAAACGCGTGGGGCAAAGCGGGTTTGTCCTGGGGGAGCACTGGGGTTCAACTCAGCAATGGCCCTGTGCTTGGGCACATGACACCAGCTTCTGCCCCAGCCCTCCTGTGTCCGCCCAGCGCCACCCCTCTGACCCCGAGGCTCCCGTCGGATGTCCCCAGTGGGACGGATGCTGCGCGCTCACCTTGCTCTTGTCTCCCCGCAGGGATCCCCGCTGAAGGATGCGGTAGGAGCCAGCGCTTCCCCCGGAGCCGGCCTGGGACATGCCCCGCGGCGCCTGCCTCCTCCTCGGACTCCTGCTGGCCCTCGGCGTGAGCGGCGCGGCCGGGCTGGCCCGGGCAGGGTAAGCCCCACGCTGCCGGCGCCTCCCGTGTGTGCCCATCTCCGTGTCCTCGGGGACTGGAGCCCCGCTGAGCCCGCGGCAGCTCCGGCCTGGAGTGGGGCTGGGAGAGGGCTCTGAGGTTCCTCCCGGGGCAGCCGCGGCTCCGCAGCCCCTCTCTCCTTGTCTGCTTTGTGCTGGAGGGGAAAAGCCTCTCAGAGGAAATGCTCTGACTCTGGCTGCTCGCAGCAGGCACAGACGCTAGGGTTCATCAGGCCCCGAGCTGCCCATGAGCTGTTATTGCCTCTTTCAAGCACATCTTGCACAAATACCCCTGCAATCTCGTTGTCACACCAGTCGCCTTGCAAACAGACCATCAGAGGAGGATGCAGCATCCAAGCCATCAGAGGAGGATGCAGCATCCAAGCCATCAGAGGAGGATGCAGCATCCAAGCCATCAGAGGAGGATGCAGCATCCAAGCCATCAGAGGAGGATGCAGCATCCCAGCTCTCAGGGGATGCCCGGTCCAGGCACAGAAAGCCCCCGTGGGTTGTTGCTGACTGTGGTCCATGGTTCTGGGAGCCTGGTGCTGGCAGCTCCGGTGATTCCCCTTCGTGGGCCAGTTCAGTGCTCTGGATCCCAGCACAGTCTGCGCAGGCCCAGCTCCATTCCCACCGAGTCAGAAGGAGCCCAGAGCTTGGTTTCATCCCAGGCCAAAAGGAGCAGGAGCTCAACACCCACCCCAGACAGAGCTCATTGTCTGCAGAGCTTGGGTTTGCACTGAAACCCTCTCCTCGTGTTAAACCTTTTCCATTCTGGTGGTGGCTGAAGCACAGCCTGAGCTGGAGCTTTATCCTCCATCTGCAAACAAACAATTGCCATTTAAAACCTGCATCTTCTACAGCATCAACAGCGAGGCTGAGGGGAGCTTCTGGAGTTAATAGAAGCCATCTGATGGCCATGCTAATTCCCAGGCTTTTATTTCAGTCTCTAATTGGGCTGGGAGGCTGGGGTGAGCTCATCAGGGCTGAGTTGTTGGGGCTGGAAAATGCTGGAAAACAGGGATCTATAACCGAGACCCCTTTGGCTGTGAACCTGGGGGCAGTTTTGGGCAGATCACCGTTACCTCAGGGAGGCTGCAGGGAGACTTCCCCCTGGCCTCCACTTTTCCTCGTTGGGCCTGACCCTCCCTGTGAAATCTTCACCTCCTGGTGAGCACATTTGTGGAATGCAGAAGTCTCAGAAAGGAAAAGCCCTCCCCTGAAGTGAGTGATTTCAGGGGCAGGGAGGCGATGGATGGAAGAACTGCTCTGGGTAAATCCCCCCTAGGTCCCGGCTCCAGCGGCTCCCCTGGGATGGGTCCGAGGGGAGGAAGAGCCTGAGCATCCCCAAGGGTTGAAGCTTGAGGTCCCCTCCCTGTCCCTGGGGGATTGGGCCCTGCCATGCCCATGGTGCTCAGAGGGGAGGGGATGCTGTGAGCGCAGGAGGGGTGCGCTGGGCCCAGCAGGGCCTGACCCATCCGCTCTGCTCAGCCGCAGGGTCTGTGCCACGGGGCCGCGGAGCCGCGCCGTTGCCTCCAGCGAGTCCCATGTGCAGCCCGTGTACCAGCCCTACCTCACCACCTGCCAGGGCCACCTCTGCAGCACGTACAGGTGAGGATGCTGCCCGCACCACGGACCCCATCCTGCCTCGGTCCATGGGCTCCCATGGGAATGGGTGCCTGGGGGAGATGCTCAGCCCCATCCTTGCCTTGCAGGACCATCTACAGGGTTGCCTACCGGCAGGTGTACAGAGAGCTACCCCAGCCCGTGGCCTCGTGCTGTCCCGGCTGGAGCAGGGCTGATGGACACCCACTCAGCTGCAATAGAGGTAAGATGCTGCTGTGCCACCCTGGGGCCTGTGCTCATCCTTACCCCAGGCCCCATGGACCAGGCAGCTCATGGCCCTGGATGCAGCCCTCACCCCGTTACCAGCACTGCCCCGCAGGCAGAGCCTCCCTGTAGGGAAGCATTTACATTTCTGGCATCACAACCAGGTGCTGTTCAATGTCTGATTAACTCCCAGCCTTCCCCTGCTGCCTCGCAGGCAGTTTTCCTTTGGGATCACTTATTACCTTTCTAGTTACCAGAGGATAAATAAAATGAGTAAGTCCTTTCAATAGAAATCAGCAGTAATGGAACAGAAATGCTTTCAGGAGGCACAAAACAGATGCAGAACGCACCAGCAGATAGTCCATCCCCAGCCCATGCCCATCAGCCATCCTCCCTCCTGCTGTGCTGCCTGCAGGGGCTTTGGCCCCTCTCCAGGCTCCATCCCAAGGTCCTGTTCATTCTGTTCTGTTTATTCTGCTCTGCTCCGGAGCCAGGCTGAGAGAGCTGGGCTGGGGCAGCCTGGAGAAGAGAAGGCTCCTGAAGGGGAGACCTGAGAGCAGCTCCAGTGCCTAAAGGGGCTGCAGGAAACCTGGAGAGGGGCTTGGGACAAGGGCCTGTAGGGACAGGCCAAGGGGAATGGCTTGAACCTGCCCGAGGGGAGACTGAGCTGAGCTCTTAGGCAGAAGCTCTTCCCTGTGAGGGTGCTGAGGCGCTGGCACAGGGTGCCCAGAGAAGCTGTGGCTGCCCCATCCCTGGCAGTGCTCAAGGCCAGGTTGGACACAGGGGCTGGTGGGCGCTGTCAGTGATGCTGTGGTTGTTTTCTGTCCCTCAGCTCTGTGCTCGGGGCCCTGCCAGCACGGTGGCACCTGCGCCCTGCCCAACAGATGCCTCTGCCCCCCCGGCTGGACCGGACGAGCCTGCCAGACAGGTACGGACTGGGCTGGGCTGGGCTGGGGGCACCAGGGTGGCCGCGGGGCTCCAGAGCTCCTCAGCCCCCAGCCCTTGGTGCGGGACAGGGACCAGCACGTGCCTGGTGCTCAGAGCACAGTGGAACCAGGGAGCTGCCCTCCGCACACCACATCCTGTCCTGGGCAGTGGTGCCGGGTGCTCTGGACAGGAAAGGATGGGAAGCTGAGCCCCCAGGGGAGCTCCCAGCCCTCCTGTGTCCCCCCGGCACCCAGCGCTGCTCTGTGCGGGGTCAGTGCAAGCACAGGCTCTGCCGTGGTTCTGCAGGGCAGCCCTCGCATTGCGGGGAGGCTGAGATCGAGTGTTTGTCACGATCCATCTCCCAGCCTTTGTAACCTCTCACTTCAGTGCAGAGACCAAACCCGTGAACTGAAAACCCCCCGGGAGGGAGGGGAAGGGAGGCTGATGGGCGGCAGGCACCCAGCTCCAGAGCACCCCTGCTCCCCGCCAGCAGACAGGGAAAGGGGCAGCGCGGTGCGAACTGCACCACGGCCTCCCTAAGGCAGAGCAGGGGCGGGTGGCATCGACCCCGCTGGGCTGAGCTCTGCGCTGACAGCCCCGGCTCCAGCGCAGGGGGGGGAGCGATTCCCCAGTGCCTAAAACAGCTTCTCCGGGCGTGGGAAGCGGCTCCGCTCCTCTGGCGCTGTGGGAACAGCTTCAGGAACTGCCCCGTGCAAGGAGCGGTGATGGGCTCTGTGTGCACAGCTCCAGGAGCGGTGATGGGCTCTGTGTGCACAGCTCCAGGAGCGGTGATGGGCTCTGTGTGCACAGCTCCAGGAGCGGTGATGGGCTCTGTGTGCACAGCAGCTGGAGCCAAAACCCCATCCGTAAATCTGGATGGGAGCCGAGCGCTGCCAGTGCAGGGCTGGGACCTCGGGTACAGCTCCTTGGTTGGGCTCTTTTGAGGCCAGAGGACAGGGTCCCACTGGGATTAGTGCAGGTTTACCCCAGCCTGGGGCAGGGGCAAAGGCTGCCCCCGGTGCTGGGGGGGGTCTTGTGCTCAGACCCTACAGTGCTGAGAGCACCCAGAGCTGCACCCAGCACCAGCACCAGCTCAGTCCGGTCCCACTGCGTACCCAGCCCTGTGCATGGCTGAGCCATGGCACCCCTCGCACCCAGCAGCACCCTGAGCTGCACCTCTGGTTTCAGACGTGGATGAATGCGCCGGGCAGAGCCATGGGTGCAGCCAGCTCTGCCTCAACACAGCCGGGAGCTTCCAGTGCGCCTGCCGGGACGGCTTCAGCCTCGCTGCCGACCGCAGGAGCTGCCAGCCCCTGGTGCCGGCGCCGGAGCCAGGAGCCTTCAGCCACGCAGGTAACGTCCCCCTTCATTGGGAGCTGGGGTTAGCAGCCAGCACCCCAGGGCGGCTGGAGCAGGAGAGGGGATGGCGGCCAGAGCCCCTCAGCTTTATTCTTGGTGACCTCTGCCACCCACCCAACCTCCCTGCACACCCATCCAGCCTCTGCCTCTCTGCACGGCTGAGGGAGCCTGGCCGTGGTGGCCCGGATGTGGCCGTTCCTTCATCACCATCACCATCACCATCACCATCACCATCACCATCACCATCATCATCACCATCACCATCATCATCATCATCACCATCATCATCACCATCACCATCACCATCACCATCACCATCATCATCACCATCACCATCACCATCATCATCATCACCATCATCATCATCATTATCGTCACCATCCCTCCCGCAGGGTGCCTGCAGCGCGAGGAGCAGCGGCGCCGCTGGTCACGGCCCATTATTACTTTTGGTACGCGCTGTGACACTTCAAACTCGTACCGTGAGTAATAATGCGCCGGGGCCAGCCCAGGCAGCGCACGCCGGGAGAGCAGGGCACGACTGCACGGGTACCACGAGCCGCCCGCCCGCATCCCCTGCCCAGGGGCAGACCCTGGTGCTCACCGCTCTGACACGGGCACGGGGGGCCGGGCTTCACCACGTCCCGTCCCATAAGCATCACCCCATTGCCTGGAAACTTCCTGCTCTGTTGCAGGTACCCAGCAGCAAGCAGAGGCTTGTGCCTGGGAGCAGCAGGCCTGGATCAGTGCTTGGAGCAGGCGTTGGATCCAAATGATGCTCCAGGGACTGATGCCAGGGGCTCATTATGGGGGGGAGTGGAAGGCACCAGATCCTGGCCTGAGCCCTGCAGCACGCTCTCTGCCCAGCACCTTCCCCTTCACTGCAGGCAATGGGCATTCACTCACTGAGTTTCTCCTGGTCCCTTCCTCAGGTCCCCCCAGTGAAGTGAAGGAAGAAGTGGAAGAGCTGAGGAGCAGAGTGGAAGCACTGGAGCAGGTAAAACCTGCAGCACAAACCCTCCCTGCCGCATCCTCCCCACCCCAGAGCAGCTCGAGGCCGCACTCATCCTGCTCCCTCCTGTGCTGCTGCAGCCGGGGTTTCCTCCATCCTGGCTGTATTTATAACTTCCCCCTGGGCTCAGATGCTGCAGGATCCCCCCTGGGCTCCAGGGGTTCCAGCCCCACAGCCCTTTGAACACAACCGAAGCCCCTGAGTGGGTCAGTGTGGGTGCTGCACCCCACGGGGACACGCTCAGGGCTCCCCTTGTCCCTGCAGAAGCTGGAGTTGGTGCTGGCCCCCTTCCACAACCTCATGCCCTCCGTGCCCGAGGACGTCGGCGCAGACCCCATCAGCCGCTTGTCCCACTCCCTGCAGCAGCTGGACAGGATCGAGTCCCTGAGCGAGCAGATCTCCTTCCTTGAGGAGCGCCTGGAGACCTGTGAGTGCCTGGAGCATCTCCCTGCTCCCACCCTGGCCCCGGGGAGCAGATGTGGGCCAGCGCCATCAGGAACACATGTGCCACCTTAATCCCTGTCTCCCTAAACTCAGCAGCCTGTAATTAACAGCAGATGAACACAAGCAGCCCATTAGCTCCATTGCAGAGCTGGTTCTGTGCCTGCACCATCTGACTGCCCCCAGAGCAGGCAGCAGCCCCAAGGCTGGCACATGGGAACGCACCTCTGGGGCAGAGGCAGTGATTGCATCCTGCATGGGGTGGCCATCCCCTTCCTGTGCTGCTCTAACTCAGCCCTTAGGAGAGGAGCCCCAGCCCCCCAGGTCCATCAGGAAGGGGCAGGGAGCGCAGATGGAGGCAGATTTACGAGCCTGGGAAGGTTCAGATGTTTCCCTTTGAAGCCCATGGAGCAGGGAGGGTCCCCAGGTCGCAGCCTCTGACGATGACCCTGGTGAGAGCTGTTATGGGTGAAGGGGCTGAGGACAGGGGTCCTGCCCATCCCCGCTTGGCCCCGAGGTGTGTGCAGAGCTCCCTGCAGCTTTGCTCTGGCCACTGTTTCAACAGGCAGCTCCTTGCAGCTCCTCTGCACATTCACTGCAGTCAAACAAGCCCAGAAACCAGGCCCCGTGCTCCAAAGACTTGAGGGGAACCTGAGGGCAGAGCCGTCCCAGGTCACTGCCTGCGGTAATGCCTTAGCTAGAAAAGCCTTCAAAGAACCTGTTTGAAGAGCAAGTGGCAGCAAACAGCCACTTAACAACCACCGCAGCAAGGGGCAAGCATCGGAACCAGTGAGTGCTCCAGCACACCCAGCTTCCCGGTACTGCCCGGTACATACCATTGGTGACAGCCAGGGAATGCGAGCACTGTCACAGGGTGACAGGGATTTATTCCAAGGGATGACTCCCAGGTCCTGGAATTAACTTCTGCCGAGCCTGACCCAGCAGGCAAAACTTGGTTTTGTCCCTCTCCTGGTCTTGGCAGTCCCTGGAGGACACAGGACTGTCCTTTAGTGCTCCACTGGGGCCTGCAGGGCATCCCATGGAGCTCAGGACCACGCTCTCTGTGCCTTGTGAAGCTGAGGCACCACTGCACACTCCCATTATGTGCCCAGTGGGGATGCGTGTAAGGAATAAAACCCATTTCCTCCTTTAAACTAGCAGCAAAGGCACGAGGTCAGGCCTCCTCCGAGGCTGAATGACCCCCGCGCAGCAGTGGGGAAGGGACCAACCCGGCCCAGCTGACACCAGTGCTGCTTGTCTTCCCTCTTCCCAGGTTCCTGCAAGAACGAGCTCTAGCGAGCAGCCAGGAACTGGAGGGAGCCGAGTGCAGCCCCAGGCTGGGGCGAAGCCGCATCACCTGCGGGAAGGCACAGGGTGGCAGGAGAGGGCTGGTTCCCCATTGCCATCTCCAGTCTCTCTCCCAGCTCACCTTAGCAGAGGTCATGAAGTTACTTCCAAACCGGACTCTGCACCCTCAGCATCTCACCCCTTCCTGTGCAAGAGCGGAAAATAAACCCCTTCCCGTGTGCCACGAGCCAGAGGCTGCACCGTGCCCTGCTTCACCCTTCACTCAGCACCACGCTGGGCACAGAGCTGCTCCTGCCTGCACACCTGGGGACAGGTCCTGTGGTTGGGGGACAGTGGCCACAAAGGGTTGTGCAGAGGGGCAGCCCCAAGCCAGGCACCACGGCAGGGGATGAGTGCAGCCAATCACTGGTGGGGTACAGGGAGTAGGAGCCCATCCCCGTGGCCTCTGTTCTGCTCTCTGGGACCAGCCTCAAGCACTGGAGGTGGCCTGGTCACTGCTTCTTGGTGCAGTATCTGCAGCAGCTTGCCCTCAGCTTACCTGCTCCTGCTCGCTGTCCTCTGCACCTTCCCTTGTGCCCTAAAGGGACACAAGGGCAATGCTCCTACCTGGGCCTGAAGGCACAGGGGCTGGTTTTACCCGTTTTAATAGGAAGCCTTTCCCTGTGTCACTCCCACTGCCAGCACAGAGCAGACAGGGCCAAGGCTGTGCCACTGCTGGTGAGGACAGGCAGGGAGGGACAGATCCCTGCAGGCCTGGGCAGGGAGGGAGGTGTTTACACTGGCACAAGCACAGGCTGCTGATGGAGCCGGCCTCTCCCAGACCCAACAGCGGCTGTCAGCCCCACGGCACACACAAACACACACACACACAGCTCCCCAGCACTGTTTGCTCAAGCCCAGGCACACTGGTACAGCAGAGCAGACGTCACCGACCTGGTACCACCCTCCCCTACCTGCCTGGAGCAGAGCTGCAGGGATTGCACCCAAACACAGGCTCCTGTGCCTGCACGGAGGCTGCGGGATCCTGGCTGGCAGGGAAGGTGCCTGCAGCAGGGCCTGGGTGGGAGGAGAGCTCCATCCACACAGCCCCACCTTCCTCTTCCTCAGGAGAGGTCGCTCCTGGTCCATGGCTTGGTGTGGGGCTGGGGCGCAGCAGCTCAGCCCTTCTGCCCACTGGGACAGGGCCCTGCCACCACCCCTCGGTCACCGAACCCCCCCTGCCCAAAGCAGCAGGTCAGCACCCTGCCACCCCACAGCAGCCCTCCTCCCGCAGCTCCCACACACGACCAGGACTCTCCTTTATTTAAATAACCAAAGGTGTACTTTGTTATGTTTTTCTCTTTAAAGCACAGAACATCTTTGTCACCCCAATTAAAAGTGAACAGCAGAAACTGCACACAGAGGCACTGCTCCCTCCTGCTGGGGACGAGGCCGCAGGTCCCTCGCTGGACACCGTTCCCCTCAGGACCCTCCGTGACAGCCCCTTATCTGCCACTTACAAAGTGCTGGTTCAGTTCCCATCCTCCCACCCCGACCCGGCTGCAGCGGGTCTCACCCCTGAGTCCGTACTTGTTAAGGCCCCTCTGATAAAGCCCCCCCAGTCCCAGTTCCCTGTTACAGGAATTCCCTGCCTTTCCCAGTGGAGGCTTTAGCCCCCAGATGCCGCATGGCACCAATTCCACCAGTGCAGGCTGCAGAAGGCATCTGCACTGGTTACCTGAGCAGCCCCAGGCACCTTGTCTCAAAGTTCTACACCCTGCACCACGAACAGGAGAGCGAAAGCCTCCCTGAACCCAAGTTAGAGGTGAAGGTACCCCAGAACCACAGGCCTGACCCAGCATTGCTCTTTGCAGAGGGCATCACCACTTGTGCCGCTCCCAGCAAGGGATGCGGCCTCCATCACCCCAAAGCACAGGGAAAACCCCTTTATGTGAACTGGAAAGGATCCGTTTCCCCCAGAGGGAGAGCTGAAGCCTTCAGCACCCGCTCACAGCTCCAGCTCCCCCTCCCCGTGGCCCTGCAGGAGCGTTGCAAGCCTCGCAGAGCCGCAGCTCCACTGAGATCAGCACAGACATGGGACAGGCACCATCTTTCGGCCAGTGCTGACCATGACAAGTGGCAAAGCGAGCAGAACAGAGCCCTTTGCATCTGCAGCAGGTCCCACAGCCCCAGGACACCCGCTGGGAGCAGGCCGAGCCACCAGCACGGCACAAACAAGTCACCATGAGGACAGGTTTGCCCAGGGCTGACACAGTTGTAGGTTTTAAATACAAGCTGGTGGCTCTGCATGGTAGAAACAAGCATAGGGCTTTGCTCAGAAGAGGCCTAAACCAGCAAGGCTGTACCACACCATACATGTGGCTTGGTCAGGTCCCCAACTGGTGCACAAGGGCACTTGGTTCAGACAAGGCAATCAAGCCTGAAGACACACTGTGAGACCGAGCAGCCCCACACGTTCCCCTCTGCAGCCCCAGCTGAGGATATCAGCCCTGGTGCTTCCTTTGGAAACAAAGGACTCTGCTCAGGAGTAGCACAGAGCCCCAGCACTAAACACTGCTGTGGCACAAGGACAGCCCTCAGGGAGACAGGCCCTGTCCCAGGGACACCCTGTGAGCTCCCCCGTGCTGGCTGCCCAGGGAGGACACCCACTCCCTGCGCTGCTGAGAGCCAAAGTCTGCATCTTCACCCGATTCCCAGCCTTGGTTGAGCAGCATCAAGGTCGTGCAGATACAAACTGCTGCCTGTGGGACAGCCAGGCTCTCCTTGCCAGCCCACAGGAGCTGGGGAACTCACCTCTCCGGTCACTGAGCCCTTTGGTAGCACAGGTTTGATGCCTGAGAAATTCAGAGAAAGAAGTTTCATTGGGAGACAAGGAACTCGTAAGAGAAATCCACTCAACGGGGACCTCAGCGCCCGCTGGACACCCGTGTGTGCTGGTCCATGGTGCTCCCAGCGTGACAAGTCACTGCAGAGGAAGAGAAGTCCCTTTGGGATTTGGCAACGGACAGGTCCCTTCAGCCACCACCACACGGTGACGCCACTGGAGAAGCAGCTAAGATGAGTCCTTTGCCTCGCTTGGACTTGGACGGCCCGACAGCAGGAAGAAGGTCTCCCTCATGGTGTGGTAACATCTGTCAGTGAGGTCAGAGACATCATCTGATGTCAGGCCTTTGGTCTCGATTGGAGGCAGAACCTCAACCTTGATTTTGCCTGGGAACAAGAGAAGAGCCTATGAGAAGACACACCAGTTACGAGGAGAGGTGGTGCCCCATTTGAAATCAAACCACCCCCCCAGTGGTTAATTACAGTTGGAGTTAGCCCAGCCCAGGTTCTGGTGCCAAGAGCTTTGAACTGGCTCCACACATGTCCCACAGGGACTCCTCCTGCTCACCCCAGCTCTGCTTCCCTCCCACACCCAGAGGTCTCCTCTGGGCATGGCTTCACCCCTGTCTCCGAGTGACTGTAGAGACCCTCAGGCTCTGGTACCTGATGTAAATAGTTTCTTCTTTGGGTTATAGAAGCTGGTGAAGGAGGAATAAACCACAGGGATCACTGGGACCTTGGGGAAGAGGAAAAACAGGAGTTACTTGCACTGCAGCAGCCCAGAGATTAGCAGCAGAGCTGACCTGGCCCAGCTCCCAGACACTGAGGGCACCACACAGTCCCACAGGCAAGACTCGCTTCCAAAGGCTGGGACAGTCAGGAATCAAATGGGATTCAAACCACTCCCAGCAACCCAAGGCACGGGGATATCTGGGCACTAGGACCAAGTTACACTTCAG